TTCATACATCATCCAAATACACTCATAGACCGACTACGGTCAAAACCAAAAAAAAAGGAAGATAAACCCCAAATGCTAGATCCTCGATCTTCCCAATTGGGCTCCACTACTGATCATCAGGAAACAACACATTGTAACGACCGAGGTCTTTGTCAAACTCCCACTTGAATTCGGTAGCATCACCTACACTGGTATCATCGGCACCTACAACTGTTTGGTAGTATCCGTGTGTCACGAGGACTCAGCAATCTCACACCCGTGAGATCAAGACTATTTAAGCTTATGGGTAGGATAAGGTAATGAGGTGGAGCTGCAGCAAGCGCTAAGAAAATATGGTGGCTAACATACGCAAATAAGAGTAAGATGAGAGGCTACGCAATGGTCGTGAAATTGTAAGTGATCAATAAGTGATCCTGAAGCTACTTACGTTCAAACATAACCCAAACCGTGTTCACTTCTCAGACTCCACCGAAAAGAGACCATCACGGCTACACACGCGGTTGATTCATTTTACTTAAGTCAAGTGTCAAGTTCTCTACGACCGGATATTAACAAATTCCCATCTTCCACATAAGCGCGGGCACGGCTCTTGAAAGTTTATACCCTGAAGGGGTGTCCCAACTTAGCCCATTACAAGCTCTCATGATCAACGAAGGATATTCCTTCTCTCGGAAAGACCCGATCAGTCTCGGAATCCCGGTTATAGGACATTTCAACAACGGTAAAACAAGACCAGCAAGACCGCCCGAATGTGCCGACAAATCCTGATAGGAGCTGCACATATCTCGTTCACAAGGCACACCGGATGGGCAAGACATCGGGTTGGCACAGACCTTGGTTGCCCAGGGGCGCCAGACATCGCTCACGGTGGGCGCCAACTGTGGTGGTTCTAAGTCTGACAGTAGAATGGGGGTAGGAATGAGGAGGAAAGATCCTAGCTGTGGTGAAGTTGTGCACGCAAGATTTACGAGTTTAGGCCCTTGTCAGAAGAAGTAACAGCCCTACGTCTCGGTGACCGGAGGCTGGTCGATTGGATTATGAGTGAAGTTAGAGGGGGTGCGAACCCTTGTGCCAGATGAGGGGGTGGCTTATATAGAGAGCGCCAGAATCCCAGCCATCCCCCGTTATATAAGGTTCAATGTACATAAAGAGCGGACATTACTGGTAATGTTAGTATTAAAATTATATAAATGATCATTAAGACTACGGAGTGAACGCCTGACCGTTGCCATCCAGAGTGACCTTCGATCTTCTGTACTCCGAGTGGTTTCTAATGTGGTCGAATGATTATATCCTGGTCTAATAGAATTGGGTTGTTCGAGTGGAACCCATGGTCGAGTGAGTTGCATCCTGACGTGATTTCAGTCGGTAGAATTTTGCAGTCCATTGAATGTCTTTGACTGTATGGCAGTGTCCTTGGGAAGGGTGCTTACATCAGGTCTATTGCCCTACCCTAGGTACATGTCATCGTCAGTTAAGACTTGCTTAACAAATAGATTAACAAATTGCAGTGTTGCAGACATGGTTTGGTACCTAATTAGTGCAGACTTTCTTAATCTGAGGCCATCATTTCTCCACGAGCAATAATAGAAGGACTTGGATCTGCAAACATAAAATCGCATATCTAAAATCAAGACACTTGACATAGACTAAGTCAATTGCTAAGTCAATTGCTCGTATGAAATTTGCAAAAAAAAGAACATATTATACAATTAACATGAAGACCACGTGGTAGTAGCCCCTTGCGTTTCCTCACTTTTTGATAGCTCTGTATAATCTTAATATCATCAACGCTTGCAAATACACCGCGCTCAATATATCACACCAATGTAACTTTGGATAATACTCCCTCCGTCCCAAAATTCTTGTCTTAGATTTGTCTAGATACGGATGTATCTAAGTAGATACATCCGTATTTGGACAAATCTAAGACAAGAATTTTGGGACGAAGAAAGAATATATGAAATAAGGAAAACAAAATTAGAAGATAAGCTACATATTACCTGGGCAGTGTCCGCTGGCCAGGGTGCCTCTGTGCCTACGCTGCAATTTAAAACTAGACTAGATGGAGAAGAATAAGAGGCGGGTAGTCAGGACGCCGGACCCGGCGGCCAGCGCGACGGGGAATCGCGTGTTAACGACGGCGGCTGTGCAGGGCATGGGCGCTCCGTTCGAGTGAGGCGAGGCAAAGGTTTCTCTGTTGTGAGTAATTTTCTTACTTTCCTGACTTGATTAATGAACGACCGGGCTACAAATCGCAGGTCGAAGCGTCAAGTGTTTTCTAGTGTGCGATTGATTCTCTGTTCTCATCCATCAATGGAGTCGCGCTAACGGGCTGAAGGCTTGCATGTCTATGCGAAGAGTGGGGATGTGCTTCTTTGTGTCACAAATTCTTAAAATTCTACTACTATGTGTCTAGGTACTAGTTCGGCCACGCCTGGGGCTACAGCCCCAGTTGCCCCATGCCTGATTTTACACTGGCAGCTCTACCATGGACCCAAGGGCTAGTAAGATTGCACACCATGCCTCCACGCTACCTCGGAAGCATGTGCCTCCGCACATGAGGAAGGCCATGTTCCTGCCAACTTTTCCCGTGGGCGTCCCCCATGGGTGGCGAGGGAAGAAAATGATTCTTGCCAATGTTTTTTTACGGTTAGATTCTTGACAATGTGGATGATTAAAAACTGTGAAAAGATAGACGCATGAACAACTGAATTAAATGAAATATGACAAATCCAAATATATATATATATATATATATATATATATATATATGTATGTATGTATATGTATATGTATATGGAACACGGAAAGGAAAGGATAGATGACAAAACAACTAAAAATAAAAATAAGACAAATCCATATATATACACAATGCGAGAATAAATCACATCTAGATATACCATACGTATTGCACATCTAATATATGGGCCCATGTTGTTCTAGTTTTTCAAATTTACGGATCTTTCTTCAATGAGCAGTGACGGACGATAGCATTTCAGACAAAATCTGGACAATGGATTGCATCATCCAATAGATAGGCATCGTTCACATTTCGTCTCTGCATTGTCGTGTGCATAGTAGTTTCGTTCTTCAATCCTGGACAAATGGAGGACACGCTTGGGGTTCTCCTGTCAAACCCTTGTGTGGGGGGTATCGTGTTGGCTCGGAGAACAATAGTACTAGCTAGAGTGCCTAGAGCTTGACACGACACACTAGTCTGTACTGGTAGTACTACAGCCAGTAGGACTGCCAAAAAATTTTGCACCTAAAAAAGCATGAAGACCATCCCTGTAAAAAGAAAACTAAAGGAGAAAAACACAACTCTTTAAGTGTTTATGCTTGAGCTGTCGAAATGCTATCTTGGGATGGCTGGGAGTTATTATCTCCTCGTCACCTTTTTCTTTTGTGCAGAAGTTTGGTGGGTGAAGTTTCAGCTAGCAACCGTGGAATGAAAATGTAATAGAATAGCGAGGAGATTTTGTATTATAAATGGTACTCCTTCTATTAAAAAACGCAAAATGTTATGAATTTTTGAATATGAACCATATACAGACTGAAATAAGTGAACAATCACACTAAAATTTGTATGTATATGACACACTGTTTTGAACATCTTATGTTTGTGAATGGAGGGAATAGTCTGTGGCACCCATCCAAAGGTTGGGGGAAGAAAATGTGTTTTTATGGTACTATGACATTCCTTATCGGCAATGAATAGTCCAATCATACAAGTATTGTTGCCAAACATCCTTAGCTTTTCAGTCGAATGCATAAAAAGTTTTTATTCTAATCAAGTAATTACGGAAAATTTGATAAATTATGAGTTGAGTACTTGCAAAATTTTCATAATATTTTGTAACAGTTAAATTTGTGTGATGCCTTGAAGAATGGATGGTGGTAGAGCCTAATTTGGACGTAATATTTCAGGAAATACGTGAATACAAATAAGGTACGAATTGAGTGCCATGGCATTGTAAATTATGAGAAACTTCGAAATAGGTTATGTGTAGTATAAATTGTTCGGTTGCACCATAGAAAAGACGCATAATATTTCCTGAAATATTAGATCAGTGTGACAATTTATGACGTTGGACTCAATAGAACCTTGTTGAAGAACCATTGCAAAAATAAATTTATTCTACAAATAAAACAATTTGCGTAGGAGAAAACTTCAAAAAGCACATGATGTAATGAAAACGGGATGGAATTTAATTGAATTTTAAAGAATGGATCATGGTGATCTCAAGTAAAATTATTAACAAGATCATGATAATGCTGACAAGGACTTCGGTAATGCTAATAAGGACTTCTCGACACACACATGTACTTTTTATTGTGGGGAAACTCCAACAAGGACTTCCGATAATGCCCATCAATTCGACATGGAGCATTTGTCACGAGCAACCATTAGTCTGCAAATATTTCATTTACAGCAACATACTCAATTGACACATACATTTTGACATAATTGGCAAGTAAACATTCAAAATATGCTTACAGGGCTAAATGGGAACAAGACAACATTAACGAGCATGCACTGGACCTGTAGAAATACTTGCATCGTGTGTCATTTTTGAAAGGCTAAAAGAGCTTATTCACATACCATGCTCATCTACTCAAGAAACAAGAAACAAGAACACATGGTGTCAACACGCAGGCAACCACCATTTTTGTTTGAGATTCGAGACTATTTAATAAATGGTTGTGTGCATCGCTTGATGTAGATGCTGGGGTTAATCCTCCTTTTCAAAAACAAGTCAACCATTTTGGTTAAACTTCATTATTTTCAATCGGTCTCCACATACACGAGCTAGAGATACACACAGGATAAACAAAAGCTGCCGAACACAACAAATTATCGAAAAGTCGGTTTACAATGATTTAAAAACATCTTGGTGAGTCCGGGAAACAGTCCATGCTGGAAGCTCCCATATCAAAAACAATTACGAATATAGTTTTATTTAATTATTTCTTAGCTCAGTTGCTTCAGCAGACGCTTATACTTGAATGACAGGACAGCAACAGTTATTGTTGTCATTGCAGAATGCCTTGGGGGTCGGCCGCTTGCCTACGCTGTCGCAAAACTTCTTGCACTTGTCGTCGGTACAGTTTGGGAAAGAGATGGAGTAGCATGGCGCCGGCAAGGGAAACGCAACAGTCTCATCTGCCTGCAAGTCCGCAGACATAAAAATATAAGAAAATGTGGATTTCAAGTATTATCTGGAAAATGCCCTTAATCTTCTACTCTTTGCAAATGGAATGATAAAATTCACTTATCAACCTCTTTGTGGGCGTCGCAGGAGGAGAGAAGAAGGGTGGTAGCCATGACCACCATGACGGTGGCCACGAAACACAGGACGCCCGTGCCCTTCTTCAGCATCGCCATGGTGTCCAGTACAAGAGGGAAGGAGTCTGCTTACGCTCACCTACATACAATTTCTTCCTGTCTTTGTGTTGTTATGTTATTCTGATTTGTGCGTTTATATAGATGTGTATGCTTAGCTTATTAGAAGTATATATTAAATGATTGATCAATGCTTTAATTCACGTAACAAATTAATTGTGATTAATTGTGATTAATTATTAATTGTGATTGTGATCAATGTAAATCGAAGACATATTAATTTTGATTAATAATTATTAATTGTGATTAATAATTATTAATTGTGACCACGTAACGAATTCATGTCAACCGAAGAAATTATTAATTGTGATTAATTATTATATATCTTTGGCGATTTGATTCAAACACAAGAGATTTTATCTAGAAGAACGTGAATCCGTTCCATTTCTCATTAAAAATGTCCATTTCATGGGCTGCCGTCTGCAAAGAAAACCTCACACGCTGCTAGCAGGGAATCACCAATGGCCCGGGCCGACTAGCATGGAAGTAAGGGGTAGTAGATGCTTTTGCAGTTTAACTAGATTAAGAAAGTTCCACTATATATTAGTTGTGCATGTGTGTATATATTAAATCGTGTGGGATAAAAAAATGTGAATAGTGTTTACGTACTCAAAGATGTCTTGCATCTCTGCTCCTTTTGATCATAAAGTGAATGTTCTCGCAAACATAGTATGCACATAAATTATTCTCCTTTTTCTGCATCATGCACTTTACCATAATAGAATTAAATCAGATAATAATCAAGCATGATAATGATATTGAAACTAGAATTAAAGATATGCACAGATGTAGCTACTACTACGTAATTACCTTGGACCGTTGCCATTTCAGCTTTGTCAATTTGAAATCACACGTGTCAAAAGAATGTTCACGTACTTTACTAAAAATTAAAGAATACAATACATACAGAGATGGAAAAAATTGTATGAAAATATAATTGAAGGAAATGTTTCACAATCAATGGACAATTTACATAGTCACCTAATGAAATATTCAAGTGTGTATAATAAAATGTTTATGCAACTTCTGAAAATGTTTGAACTGAGGAATTTATTTTAGAACCATTCTTTTTAAGGTTTCGTCTTATGTGGAATTGTTTTAATTTTCAAACTAAACATTCGAACATGCCATGAAAACACGAACGGAATTTTTATGCCTTTCATCGGACTAGATCGACGTGACGCTACACATATCCGACTAATTTTTTTTATATAATGTATTTTAATAAATTTTCAGGAATATTACGTTGATTTTATTTTTTTTCAAAAATAATACATAGTCAGCCATCTGGTGGCCGACTGGATCCAGTCGGCTAAGAGTAGGCCGATTACTACCCTATCAGCTAGCAGCAGGTTGATTGGGCTCCGTCGGCTAACTGTTGGCCGACTAGAACTAATTGGCTTATAGTAGGCCGACTGAAACTAATTGGCTTTGTAACGCCCATCATGCGGCTATAGCTCCCACGTGTCGAGGCATGACTGAGAGGCATAACCACATAGTGGTTTTGTCACAAGAAGGGTCATCTTCACAAATATCCCATGTAATGAACAAGACATGGATAAAAAGAGTTGGCTTACACTCGCCACGTCACACAATACATAAATAATTCATTCATCATCCAAATACACTCATAGACCGACTACGGTCAAAACCGAAAGAAAAAGGAAGATAAACCCCAAATGCTAGATCCTCGATCGTCCCAACTGGGCTCCTCTACTGATCATCAAGAAACAACACATAGTAACGACCGAGGTCTTCGTCAAACTCCCACTTGAATTCGGTAGAATCACCTGCACTGGTATCATCGGCACCTGCAACTGTTTGGTAGTATCCGTGAGTCACGAGGACACAGCAATCTCACACCCGTGAGATCAAAACTATTTAAGCTTATGGGTAGGATAAGGTAATGAGGTGGAGCTGTAGCAAGCGCTAAGAAAATATGGTGGCTAACATACGCAAATAAGAGTAAGATGAGAGGCTACGCAACGGTCGTGAAATTGTAAGTGATCAATAAGTGATCCTGAAGCTACTTACGTTCAAACATAACCCAAACCGTGTTCACTTCTCGGACTCCACCGAAAAGAGACCATCACGGCTACACACGCGGTTGATTCATTTTACTTAAGTCAAGTGTCAAGTTCTGTACGGCCGGATATTAACAAATTCCCATCTTCCACATAAGCGCGGGCACGGCTCTTGAAAGTTTATACCCTGAAGGGGTGTCCCAACTTAGCCCATTACAAGCTCTCATGATCAACGAAGGATATTCCTTCTCTCGAAAAGACCCGATCAGTCTCGGAATCCCAGTTACAGGACATTTCGACAACGGTAAACCAAGACCAGCAAGACCGCCCGAATGTGCCGACAAATCCCGATAGGAGCTGCACATATCTCGTTCACAAGGCACACCGGATGGGCAAGACATCGGGTTGGCATAGACCTTGGTTGCCCAAGGGCGCCAGACATCGCTCACAGTGGGCGCCAACTGTCGTGGTTCTAAGTCTGACAGTAGAATGGGGGTAGGAATGAGGAGGAAAGATCCTAGCTGTGGTGAAGTTGTGCACGCAAGATTTACGAGTTCAGGACCTTCTCAGAAGAAGTAACAACCCTACGTCTCGGTGCCCGGAGGCTGGTCGATTGGATTATGAGTGAAGTTACAGGGGGTGCGAACCCTTGTGCCAGATGAGGGGGTGGCTTATATACAGAGCGCCAGAACCCCAGCCATCCCCCGTTACATAAGGTTCAATGTACATAAAGAGCGGACATTACTGCGTTAGTATAAAAATTATATAAATGATCATTAAGACTATGGAGTGAATGCCTGACCGCTGCCATCTAGAGTGACCTTAGATCTTCTGTACTCCGAGTGGTTTCTGATGTGGTCGAATGATTATATCCTGGTCCAATAGAATTGGGTTGTTCGAGTGGAACCCATGGTCTAGTGAGTTGCATCCTGAGGTGATTTCAGTCGGTAGAATTTTGCAGTCCATTGAATGTCTTTTACTGTAGGGCAGTGTCCTTGGGAAGGGTGCTTACATCAGGTCTATTGCCCTACCCTAGGTACATGTCATCGTCAGTGAAGACTTGCTTAACAAATAGATTAACAAATTGCAGTGTTGCGAACATGGTTTGGTACCTAATTAGTGCAGACTTTCTTAATCTGAGGCCATCATTTCTCCACCAGCAATAATAGAAGGACTTGGATCTGCAAACATAAAATCGCATATCTAAAATCAAGACACTTGACATAGACTAAGTCAATTGCTAAGTCAATTGCTCATATGAAATTTGCAAAAAAAGAACATATTATACCATTAACATGAAGACCACGTGGTAGTAGCCCCTTGCGTTTCCTCACTTTTTGATAGCTCTGTATAATCTTAATATCATCAACGCTTGCAAATACACCGCGCTCAATATAGCACACCAATGTAACTTCGGATAATACTCCCTTCATCCCAAAATTCTTGTCTTAGATTTGTCCAGATACGGATGTATCTAGATACATCCGTATCTGGACAAATCTAAGACAAAAATTTTGGGACGAAGGAAGTATAAATGAAATAAGGAAAACAAAATTAGAAGATAAGCTACATATTACCTGGGCAGTGTCCGTTGGCCTGGGTGCCTCTGTGCCTACGCTGCAATTTAAAACTAGACTAGATGGGGAAGAATAAGAGGTGGGTAGTCAGGACGCCGGACCCGGCGGCCAGCGCGACGGGGAATCGTGTGTTGACGACGGCGGCTGCGCAGGGCATGGGCGTTCCGTTCAAGCGAGGCGAGGCAAAGGTTTCTCTGTTGTGAGGAATTTTCTTACTTTCCTGACTTGATTAATGAACGACCGGGCTACAAATCACAGATCAAAGCGTCAAGTGTTTTCTAGTGTGCGATTGATTCTCAGTTCTCATCCATCAATGGAGTCGCGCTAATAGGCTGAAGGCTTGCATGTCTATGCGAAGAGTGGGGATGTGCTTCTTTGTGTCATAAATTCTTAAAATTCTAGTACTATGGCTCTAGGTACTAGTTCGGCCACGCCTGGGGCTACAGCCCCAGTTGCCCCATGCCTGATTTTACAACGGCAGCTCTACCATGGACCCAAGGGCTAGTAAGATTGCACACCATGCCTCCATGCTACCTCGGAAGCATGTGCCTCCGCGCATGAGGAAGGCCATGTTCCTGTCAACTTTTCCTGTGGGCGTCCCCCACGGGTGGCGAGGGAAGAAAATGATTCTTGCCAATGTTTTTTTTACGGTTAGATTCTTGACAATGTGGATGATTAAAAACGGTGAAAGGATAGATGCATGAACAACTGAATAAAATGAAATATGACAAATCCAAATATAAATATAAATATATATATATATATATATATATATATATATATATATATATATATATATATATATGTATATGGAACACGGAAAGCAAAGGATAGATGACAAAACAACTAAAAATAAAAATAAGACAAATCCATATATACACACAATGCGAGAATAAATCACATCTAGATATACCATACGTATTGCACATCTAATATATGGGCCCATGTTGTTCCGGCTTTTCAAATCTACGGATCTTTCTTCAATGAGCTGTGACGGACGATAGCATTTCAGACAAAATCTGGACAATGGATTGCATCATCCATTAGATAGGCATCGTTCACATTTCATCTCTGCATTGTCGTGTGCATAGTAGTTTCGTTCTTCAATCCTGGACAAGTGGAGGACACGCTTGGGGTTCTCCTGTCAAACCCTTGTGTGGGGGGTATCGTGTTGGCTCGGAGAACAATAGTACTAGCTAGAGTGCCTAGAGCTTGACACGACAGGCTAGTCTGTACTGGTAGTACTACAGCCAGTAGGACTGCCAAACATTTTGCACCTAAAAAAGCATGAAGACCATCCCTGTAAAAAGAAAACTAAAGGAGAAAAACACAACTCTTTAAGTGTTTATCCTTGAGCTGTCGAAATGCTATCTTGCGATGG